ATTGTGTTACAGGGATGCAAATAATTAATTTAATTAAGGATTCATCTGAAAAGTACTTTCTAGATTAATAGTTTGGTCATTAACCTTTTAGGAAATCATGGAAATGTCGATCTGAGTTTCAAAGTCAAGTAACTTTAAATATTTTGATTTCTCAGTCCAAACCTATGGTCCAAACCCAAAATACATTACATTAAATTTAACTCATTAATCTATTCTGATGTTCACTTGTCAAATAAACCCACATCAGACGACATAATAACCTACTTGGTCGATCATTCACAAGGCCACAGTATTACTTTAATAGCTGAGTTTGAGCCCTCTCACAGTACATACATGCTTTGTTGCCAAATCAATACTTCATCCATTAACGTTTGCCAAATATGGCACCATGTAGAACTTCTGAAGCTCTTAATTCTCTCAGGCTTATGAACATAAACACACTAAGAGCTTTATTTTTGTCAGACTATTAGGGCTTGCAGCAGTTTACACCTCAAGGAACATTCTCAGAACAGGTTTCATCATTGCTTTTCATTAAAGACACGTACCCTCGAGTGTCTTGGAATGCCCATACATACACGAGCTCAGGGTAGCACTTGTACGTTGGTGGGGAAACATGTTATTTCTGCTGTGAAGGGGATATTCTGCCACAAGGGTCAGGGCGCTAAGTTTAAAGATCAAGAGGTCACACAGTTGCACCATCTGGCCTACAAAACCTTCACATATCTGGCAGCACTTTAGGTCTACCACACAGAGTTCATTTCTGATGAACGTTGTTGTGAGTCTGCAATTATTTTTGTCTGTCTAGACGTTTAACATCTGAGAGAACAGTTTGAACACCTAACCCTAAGGCATTTCTAATGGAGAGGAGGTAGCGATGGGTCATTCCAGACTGGTCACACACGGTCCACTCCTCCTGCTGTTGTATAATTGTTCAGGGCGATAGGGTTGAGAGCAGACATTCTCTTCTCTCTAATGTGCCTGGGATCACAGAGCAAGTATTTCCCTCCTGGGGAGTATGTTGAAACTCCCAGACGTGGACACACACACTGAAAGATATCACACATACATATGCCCTTTCTTATCACCTGAAGGAACACCGTCAGAGGTTATTTGCGGAGGCTTACGTGTGTTCATTTCCACCGAATGAAAACAGCAAGCAGACATAGCATCGTGCACAGAAGCAGTCTCAACATAAATAGTCTGCTTGGCGTAAAAAGTGACAGATTGGATTTCCTGTAGTACAAATGGGGGTGCTGCCGTTCGCTCATGGGTCACGTTGCGTCTAAAGTGAAGACATTAACTAGTGGATCGAGCTTTCATTGGATAGGAGAGAGGGACCAAAGGAAAACAGCTGGCATCATCGCAGTCATTACCATCATCGGTTTTCATTTAGGGAAAACAGTAATCTACAATCATATAACTTCCATTAAATCTGCTCCAGACATGGGGAAATAATAGAAAAGAAAGTATTGTGGAGGCCAAAGTCACACGTTTATTGTTATCAGCCAAAGTGACGTTTGTGGAATTGTTCTACGTTGTGGTGTGCTATAGTCAAGTGACTGTCCTGCATGCTAATATGAGCAGATGGTAAGGTGATATAAACTCAAATATTTCCAACAGTGGGAAAAAAGGTTGGGTTTTGTGTGCGTATGTTCCATCCAAGCCAACAACTGCTGTAAATGTTCTCCATCTGACTCTAGCATTTTGTGTCTTTTCCAGTACAACAATGAGCCTCTCAGATCAGCAGCCCACTCACTTTCTTTTATATTTCTCTTTTTCTCCTTCTGCCTGCAGCAGGGTGGAGTTTCTTCCTTGCTCGGAGAGAGCTTGTTAAATGACTGTTGTTGGACCAAGTAACTATTTCCATTACATGTGTGCTTTCGACACCAGTGTGCTAAAAGGCTTATTTCTCCAAATGAGAGTATGCTTTGCAGCCCTTTTTAAAGAACACAAGCCTTAAATACTGTTGCAATTTGTAGACACAATTATTGGAATAAAGGGTCTTTCAATAACAATACTCCATTACAAGAAAGAATCCTGAATTCAAAATGTTAGTGGTAGTACAGCAGTGTTATTAGCTAAAAAAGTAAAAGTTCTCAATATGCAGTACAGTTATTTTCACAGTATTACATCATCATATAATTCAGTATTATCCATTTGTATTACCAACAATTACATGGAAAAGCATTTGTGGAGCCAATTGTATATACTTTTAATGTATTGGGTTGTGTTTATATATCAGTAGTGCTCCATGTAATCTCATAAGCATTTCACATGTTTTTAATAGTCACATTACAATATTTGTCTCAAAAATGTAGAGCAGTAGAAGTATAAAGTAGCATAACATGTAATACTCAAGTAAAGTATTTAGTAATTATGGCTTATTATTGCTTAAGTATGGTACTTGAGTTATTATACTTTCCACCACTGACATCCAGGAAGTAGGTGTGTTAGGGAGCCAAACCTAAAGGGACTGATGTCATCCTGTCAAACTCTACTTTGGATTTCAATCCGTTCCCCCCCCACCTCTCTCATACACCGTCCAACAGGCTGTAGTGTTAGACCTCCCACATACGCACACACAGCCTTCAGCCTGCTGCGAGCCACTGACAGCAGCAGTAGCTCTCTGATCCGGACACACAGCTATTGAGAAGGAACACAACTAACTCACCCTAAGCAATCCCTCATGTCCCACCCCGGGGGCTACTCTGCAGGGCTTTTCTCATCTCATGTTGGTTTCCACTGCTCTGTATGGAAGGGCTCTACTCATCTTAGATTGGGACTGTAACATCGTCCGCTGCTCTCACAGGTAGGGAATCTGCTGAGGTTTTCTGCTAATATTCTCTTCGGCTACTTTTAGGTAACTTGTTCAAGTGTTGTCAGGCTTTAAGTCAGTAAGCTGTGTGACTAACGATCCTAATTGCTCAAAAGTCACATTTGACTTGAGTGGCAGGGGATTATAAAGGTACTGAAATGGAGAAAGTGAGGGCGGGCTCTTCTTTCACGACTTATGTCTATGTTTATCTTCACGGCTGATGGATGTGTGTGTGTGTGTGCGTGCGTGTGTGTGCGTGCGTGTGTGTGTGTGTGTGTGTGTGTGTGTGTGTGTGTGTGTGTGTGTGTGTGTGTGTGTGTGTGTGTGTGTGTGTGTGTGTGTTGCTCAAGTGCACCGGAATGCATCCAGAGCCCCACACTTCATACTATATAAATGTGTAATGATGACTTGTCTGAAGCCTCTAGTCTTACCAGCTAACTTGTTTAGGGTACAAAGCATTGACTTGCTAGCAGAATCTGAAAGTTTGCATCAATTTATTTGATTAGTATCTGTTCTTTCATGGGTATTAACAACTTATACTGTGCTGCATAGGCCGTATTTAATTTTGTCTTAATTTACATTATTTAATAATATATTCTGTTCTTGTACATATCCTATATTCTATTGACATGTATATAGACACTACTTTTTATTTTGTATTTTTGTATTTTATTATATATGTTGCATTGTTGGAGGAGCTCAGGTCAGAAGAATTTCATTGCCATTTCTACGCTGTAGCTTTGTGCATATGACAATACAACCTTTGAATCTTGAATTGAATTTGAATGTACTGCAACTAATACAAACCGACCAAATGGCAAGCAATATTGCTACAGGCCATTATCAGTCTAGACATAGCCATACCATAGTGGTTTTTTCCCACTCGTGGTCCACCAATGCACCAATCAAAGTAAACTCACCAACGGATAAGTAGTAGAAAACATACGCTGTGTTTGTCTGAAACCAAGAACCACCAGATTTGTTTCCAACAGTGCAGCCACTAACTAAAGTGCACCATTCCCTTGGCAAGTTGCCCCGGCCAGCCAAGGAGACCTTGCAGTACCCTGCCTGTGTACGCCCACCAAGCTCCATTACAGAGGCCCGTATTCACTAAAGCCGAGATGGAGATATCTATAAGTTACAGAGACACAGACAGCTTCTTTGTGCAGATCCTTTCCCAGCGGTAGAATCTGATTTGTTTTATCAAGACATGCCTCATCATGAGTTATGAGTTTTTCTTCGGAACTTTAATGGGCAGTAGAGTAGGAAATCTATGTGACAAGGTATTGTTTTGTTATTGAATGCCTCACCACACAGACGTTTACTAAATGGTGTGTAGGAGTGACTTTAGGGAGTTGTGAGTCTTGAGATGTTAGACATAAATCTGTCTGCATTGATGCACTGTGTTGGTTGTATCAGAGAATGCAGGATGAAGGGAGGGAAACGAGTACTTTTGTTTTGCTTTGGGTTTCGAAGGCCAGGAAAAGCCTCCAGGCCTTCCTTAGTAGGTGATGCTGAATTTCCAGTGATGACTACATTCTTCTGATCGGGGCACCCTACTTCCTCTACACTGGACTTGGGTGTGGTTGTGTGTGAAAGTGTAAAAGCACGAGTGTACACCATGTGCATTTGTGTTCAGTAAAAACAATCTACGTTGCAGCAGTCCTTCCGGGTTCATGAGTTAACACATTTGAAGTTTAATAGTCTGTGGTGTTCATTCAATCATTTATTTTCATCATGAGCTAATTAAATCCTCAACTGAATCCTCATGTATTATGCCAGTTTTTCCTCAGTTGGTACAGATTAAACCAATAGGCTTGAGAAGGCAGTGTAAGGCAAGCTGCTGTGATTTCATAGATTTTTCCACAGTGCATGCCACGGACCCTGCTCATTTCCTGAAGCTGGTAGAATAGGTGGATAGAAGCCAGTGTTTCATTTGGCCATGCCCACACAATCCCCCAACACCTCTACTTCTCTTTATGATAGTTCCTTAATCTTTTATTTTTAGTGTTTTGATGAATCATGCATTCTATTTAGAGGAGTGAACATTTATTTCAGTTTTTGCCAAAGTTCTGTGGCTCTGAAAATACTTGGGTGGTTGTAAATGAAAGGGTTTCGAAAGCGGAATAATTGTCGTATTTGGATTAATCTGATTCTAATGACTCTCTGTCATTCTTTGTTTTAGAACTCATCCACACTGAAGGACCCTTGGATGGCAGCCTCTACGCCAAAGTTCGCAAAAAGGAGTCCGTGGAAGGAACAGTCACAGCGAATGGCCTGCCACCATCTGCGGTGGAACACGCCCTACCTGCGGTTGACCATGCCTTGTCAGTGAGCAGCGACTCAGGAAACTCTACTGCCTCAATCAAAACTGACCGAACTGATGAAGCGGCAGCAGCAGCTCCTCAGGCTTCCACAGTGAGCCGGACACACGTTCCTGTAGGAGAGGAGCTACCCTTGGTCCATCAACAAGAACCACCTGCACAACAACCAATCAGTCCCCAGGAGAAGCAGGAGCTCGAGCAGCTGCTGAGTGGCCTGGAGGGGCCCATGCACCGACAGGGCTACCTGTCCCTGCCGGCTTCCACGGTTGGAGGCATGCTTCACCTGGTGCCTGCCCAGGTCCATGTCAACGGGCACGGTAGCATTGACCGTGAGACAGACATTTTGGACGATGACATGCCTACCAGTCAGGAGGGACACACTGTGGACAGTCTGGGGACGTTCTCCTCCACAGATGGCAGGGCTACACCAGCTGATCTTTACTACCAGCCTGAGCCAATTGTCAATGGCCAGGAGCATGTGCCGTACCTGGAGCGCAGTGCCCCAGAAAAGCCTCTAGAAACTACCATACCCAAAACATCCGCCACTCTGACCCAAAGTGAGTCCGCCCCATCCTCTGGTTATTACACGGCGAAGCAGAACGGCAATGTGTTCCGCTCTCAGTCGTTTGGAGCAGAGCAAAACTCTTTGCCTCAAGCTCCAGCTCGCACCACCAGTAGCAGGGATGCCGTCCAGCGCGGGCTCAACGTTTGGCAGCAGTTTGGTGTAACAGAGGAGCCCGTTACTGAAGGACTCACCTTCAGTCAACCTCCTTCTACAGTGGTGATGTCCAGCCACCACAGCCTCCCACAATTCTCTAACCGCCAGAGCGCTTCCCAGCATGAAATTGAGGAATCTATTGAAACCCTTAATCTCCTCATGATGGACCTGCAACCAGGCCGTACGCTGGTGCCAAAGTCCCAAAGTGCTCCACTGCAGGAAAACTGTGTTGTAGTGACCACCCAGCCGTCCTTCTCCCAGAGCCAACCCAGGCCCTCCACACAGGCTGACTCAGCCATTCATAGCCACTTTTCTGGCCCCATGTCCAGCCTGGCCAGCCACTCGTCCCCGGGTCAGATGTCCCCTGGGAAGCCGAGGACGCCGGAGCCTGCTCCTGTCCAGGGATCTCTGAGTTACTCATCTGAAAGGGATGTGACAAGTCCTCCCTCACTAGCCTACCCCACTGTAGCTGGTCACATCCAGCTCAAGCCCATCAGTAACTATCCACCAAGCACACTGTCCCAGTCTGCGGAGGTCACTGAGCCCCAGTGGAGCCCCAGTGCCGCCTCAGCATCACCCCAGCCAACAGACAGTGAGCAGGATGAAGTTTTCAACGTTGAAGGTCTGGTGGCCCAAAGAGTGGCAGGTAAGATCCAACATTAATTAAATGAATCTATGTATGACCTTTTATTTAAAGAAAGAAGTATATGTCATCCAGCAGCAGGTTGCGTCTTTAGATGTTTTACGTGATTTCACAGATTCATATAGTCTGCCAGGAATGGTAACATGTTTGCCCGAGGCAAAATAAATCTTAAAATCCAATATTTCCACAGACGCTGCACTGTTCACTGCCCCAGCTTTTTAGGTGAGGGCATTGACCTTGGCCTACAGTATATTTAACAAAGAAGAATTATCTGAGAATATAGTGGCACAGTCTTGGGGACTATTGGATATAATCCTTGGTTTGCCCTTTCGCAATGCTTTAATAAAACAAGAAGCTGCTGCTCTTTTTGAGTTTTCGTTAGAAACACTATGTGTGACTGAAATATGTTATGACTTAACCTTTTTTTTCATGTCATAATAATGGTATTAAGCTGTTTAATTATAATTCTACGTGCAATTTGTGCAATACTTTTCTCAGGTATGTGTGACTCCTCTGCTTTGAAACGAGCCATGTATCATTTTGATTGTACAACCAATCTGTTGTCCAACATTTTTGAGGCCTTGCCCAAAACAGAATTTTGGCTGTATCACATTATAATGATCTACATATGGTTAATATTTACATTATCCAGTAGAGACAACAATGTGACGTTGCTGAATACTAAATGCCAAATCATTTTACTAGGTATTATTCATTGTACCAGTTGTATATAATATTTGTATTGTGGCAGAAAATGTCGAACAGAACATGTACTGAGTGTAATGTACACACTGTACACACGTCTTTCCGCTGCTCTGTCCTTATCTCATTTCCTGAATGTCACCTCATCAGCCCCAATCCCTCAGGCTCAAACAGGAAGTGCTCTCTGCAGTCCAGCAGGTTGACTGTCCCTAGATAAGCACATCAGACATCCTGCAGGGCAGCAAGAAAGTCAACACAAAGCAGAGCCCTCAGATAACGAACGGCAGAAAGAGGTTTTATAGAACAAACAATACGGTCAACTTCACATTACAGCCAATTCAATGTAAATATTCACACTACGAAATACATGCTAGTTTAACACCATTAGGAGTATGAAGTGTAGGGATTTGTTGTTGTGTTGGACTGATTTCTACTTCCTGTATCAATTGAATTCCTCCTATTCCATGATTTATTCAAAGTATTTAAGACAATATTGTTTTACTTCTATTGTGAAAGTCCTAGATTGTGCGTACACATCAACCCTCAAAGATTGAAACTTTCGTATGAATTGTCTTTAAATCATGGGAACATCTCAGTTTCTATTCACAGGCGGGCCTTGTCTCGCTTGTTTCCTTTTTCCTTTAGTTTTGTCATCATCATTCTTCTCTCTCTCATCATCCTTCATCTGTTTACCCAGAGTACTCGGCTCGTGTCCAAAGTGTCATCCCCAGCATGACCTCTCCTCAGTCTGAGCACCGCCGCTCTCACTCCTTCTCGGGTTTGTTTCTTCCATCCTGTCTGAAGGAACACTTAAAAACCAAAAAGGAGAGGTCCTTTTTCAAGTGTTCCTTCCAGTAGTCAAGTCTGTATCTGTTTTTGCCTTGGAGTGCGGTGTGGTTTGCCTTGAATCATTTCTCATTTCATATTAACAATTGAATGCCCTATCCTAAACTACACGTTTTGTTTCGGTTTTAATACACTTTCTTTCTGTCATTGGGTTTGCACAGCAGCATCTTTATCATTATCAAACTAACCAATGATTCCCCTCTGGGTACATACTCACCCTTCTCTCCTGCTCGCTCTGAGTAATAGTTTTATACCTCAAGGTTAGTGGGAAAAAAAACAATGTTAAAGTTTCACAAGAACGAGACAGGGGAGGCACAAAGGAAGCTCTGTCCCTGGCCAGGAGAGTGTATGTCACAAGATCCATGTTGCCAAACTCAGGAACAATACAGAGGCCAGGATACACTGGCTTCATTCAATGTGCCTTTTTTCACTCACTGTACTGTTTTTGAAGATTTACAAAGCCAGACAAAGGACACGGAATCCAGGAAAAGGACCACAGTCCTAGTTGGAAACTTCACTAAAACAGTATGTGTCCGCTGGGAGACGGCAACCACAATGCAGACAGGATTGTTCTGTTTAGGGCCCTCGAGTGTCGGGGGCCAGCCTGGCCTCTTTACCGCAGACGGCCATATCGTTTTCAGTGATGCAACTGAAGTTGGAATGAAGGTGACGTTTCTTGTTCTATAAATACAATTCACTGCAATTCCTTTTAGAAAATGAAACGCCACATTAAGACTTTCAAACCAAAACCTGTTAATGATCTGATCTTACCAGGAACCCCTTTTCTTACCTTAACTGACCCTTTTTATAGCTGCCGGTGTGCACATTTGGACACTGTGGTTTCCCTCACCTCACCTATCAAACTTATGTTTTTGGAATCAACCCTGATTATCCTCATGATGACTGGATTTGAAATAGCTTAGAAATATCAGACCTTGAGAAAATCCAGCGATCCCAGCTGGAAACCATTAGCGCCGTCACTAAGGCAACGGCGCAGTGTTTGACTGCTGCTGAGCAATGCATCGTGGGTACATCTGGTTCTCAGTTCATAGCCTCTGCACGTTGGTGGGTGTGTTTCTGTTTGGGTGTGTTGACTGCATGCTTTGCAAAGATGTCAGTTACAGGATTTATTAACCGTCACCCTGCCAACACCAAGACATTTGGAGATGGAGATAAATCAAGCGTCATAACAGATGGCATTATCGGGTCTTATTTATCATTGATTTATTTCTAAAATGTAAAAACAAAACATCTACATATAGCTATATATATAATACGTACATTGATTCCCAATGAATTATAACCTAATAATGGTAATACAAAACACAAAGACGTTTTGAGAGAGTTAAACCTTTTAACTGGATTTATTTTTAGATAGATTGGCAATGGCAGCTAACATCAATTCCTGAGTATTGGAATTTTCACAGCTGCTATCAATATATTTTCCTCAGAGATATGTGGCCAGGTTTTTACACCCTCACTTCAAAGTAAGGTTGAGGGAAGGACATATCAATATTTTCAAATTGTTCTTATCGTCAGGCTCGTAGGGTATGCCTTAACTGACATTAGCCTTAAGTGAAATTTTAAAGGGGCCCTTTTATGCTGTAACAAAACGACATCACCGCGTAACACTCAGGCTTCTATTGGCTAGCGCTCCAACACATTGTACGTAATAGGCTAAGGGTCCGGAAATCTCTAAGTGTTTAACCAATCACAGCAGAGCCAGCCAGCTAACATATCAGAGCAGACTGGGCTCTGGTTTCAGACAGAGGGTGAAAAGAGGTGCTGCAGCACAGGCAGTATGATAAATATAAAGAGCTTTTTGAACCTTAAAGCATGGAGACAGTAGAGTCTACTGTCACAGTACAGGCAGAAAATACAAATATGGACCTGAAAATGAGCATGAGAGGGCCTCTTTAATAAACATACTATTCAACCATCTCTTTCATTAACAGAATTTAAACAATAAGAACAAAGTAACACTATGAAAGAAACACTGGGTAAACCTCCTCAGTGCAAACAACAACTCAGAATGTATTACTCCTATTTTCCCACCCTTTCTTATCCCTATTGTAATTTCCTTTCTTTTCCCAATAACCTTCATCTTGTTCCAAAGCACAGAGCAGCCAGTGATATTTCACATTGGCCGTGCAGCTTTGGCCAGCATTTCATTATTTTTACCTTTAGCCGCCAGTCAATGGCATCGCATATTAGCATAAAACTCTTAACTTAAATCCTGTTTGTTTTATGCTGGAAGCTTCCTCTCTCTCAGTGCAAACCAGATTAACTGAAATGAGCTTACTGGCTGCTCTGAGGTTCTGCCATATTTGGCCACATCGACACATTAGATAAGCAAAATACAGCAGTATATCAGAAAGTGGGGTGAGAAAATTTTCGTCCTGTTGTTCCAGAAATGAGTTGCTTTGTTTCCGCTCATGGTAGAAGGTGGTAACATTACTTTATGTAACATACCTCCAAGGACAAGGTGACTTTGAAACACAATAGTTTGTTTGTTTTACTGGAAATATCATAGAATGGGTTTATCTATGAATTTGATCATTTGTTTCATTTTTGCGACTTAATGGCTTTGTGTGCTAATCCTTCATTAACCTTGTGTGTGCATGTTGCGTTGAAAAGTACCACAGCCTTCAGCCTTGGCCTGAGCAGTGAGCATTCACAGCGGCTGAGAACCATTAACCTGTGATGACGGGGATGGCATTGCTGGAGGAGAGCAGTCTGATGGAGCAGAGTTGATCAAATGTTGCTGAATTGTAACACTCACTTCTTATCTCAGGAGTCCAGGCCCGTACGGTGTCTTTAGACGAGCCTGCCACCCTGCCCCGCCAACGCAACACCAGCGAGGGCCACTACCACAACGGCCCTGATGAAGACCCCTCCCCCGACGTCCCGCTGCGGTCCCCTGTCCGCTGTGTTTCTCCTGAGTTTGTCAACGCCTTAGCGATGAATCCCGGAGGACGACCCAAGGAGGTAAAGAACTTTGATTTTCTAAAATGTTTCCCACGTTATTTTCTTTTTGTGTTAACATGTGTTCTCGTTCCACTCCTCAGAGACACATGCACAGCTACCGCGAGGCCTTCGAAGAGATGGACGGTGGCCCCATCAGTTCAACACCCTTTGTTGGTGGTGAGGTGTTTCCCCAAACCCCTGCCTTCCCCATCTCGCCGCAAACCCCTTACTTCAACCTGTGTAAGTCCCCCCTCCGGCTGACAGGCGGCACTGTGGAGCTCAGGCTTAGTTACTGTAGATATTCAAAGAGTGGTATGAGTTATATGAAATCCTACGAAAAGCTTTGATTTCATTTTTTTTTGGCTTATGAAGTAACTTTATCAACTTGTGAATTTATCTTTTTTAGGTGGAAACTCAGAGATGTTCATATTATTGAGACTTCTCTGTAGGAAAAGTCTTGAGGTGTAAAAGATTCCTTTGTGGTTTCAGAGTCTTGGCAGTCATTCATCGTCCTTTATCTTGACGTACAGCTAGTCCTTTCTTTATGTACCTCATTAAGTACCACATATTCACCAAGCAGTGAAGAAATATTTCCACTATTACCTCATCTCAATCTAACTTTCATTTCATTTGGATTGTGAATAGGCTGGATTTTAAATGATGAGTAGCGTTCTGGCCTTGTTGTTGGTTCATTAAAATGCCTTAGTGGCCAGTCTTGTAAGGAATGAAAAATAATATTTGTTAATGAGATTATTTATAGTCATTTTTCAGTAGGTATAAATTGTATAAAACAAGAGATCATTTTTAAAGCCAAGTCAAAATGTAGCTTATTGATCACATTTAATCTTCATCTCTCTTTTTAATCAAACATTCACAAGTTGATCTCCCCAGAAATACCAATTCAAACCCCCAGTCCCCCTCTTAGTCTTATATGCGCCCCACAGCTGAACAAGAGTCATGTATAAGGTTACGCCTCATTGGCCAACTCTACCAGTGACTTCATCCCTCTGCCTATCCCCCCCAGGGCACACCCATAAAAATAAGTCATAAATCCTCAAACTATATTTTTAACACTCGCTCTGTGGCGTAACAGCACTACTTCCCCTCAAAGTGGGAACATTGTTCACGCAGTCACACTGAGCAGTCCGGTTTTCTCCGATTAGGATCTAGGAACAGATTGAGATCAAATTATTGCATTTAGATAAGCATTTTTTGAGAAAATGCAATGTTCTCGATTGTTTGTATGGACCTCAAAACCAACATATTTTTCCCAATAAGGATGGTCATGCAGAAATGGTCAAAATGTGTTAAAGGTGCATGGTTATCTAAGTGATTAGTGAACACTCCGCAAGATGTACTTCTAATTCCACGTGATCTTGAGTAGTGGGTCTCTCAACTCACACTCCCTAGTGTTCACTTAGTCTGCCCGACACCCCCCACAACTTGGGGCATCTACGTTGCAAGTACAAAGAATGAATTGGGATTCTTTGGTAAGTGGATGATGCACGTCTCTCTTCCGGAGTTCCTCTGTCCCACAACATCAGCCAAATGGATCCCTCATCCCCCCCTCAATGCCCCTCCCCCTATCACAGCTCTGCACCGCTTTGGCATGCAAACACCATGAGAGCAGCACCAGCAACACAACAGACACACTGTATATAAGTAAACAACCTGCCAGTTGCTCATATACATAAATAACCCCAACTTTAATGAATTGTTTATTAGCCTCAGTGTCAAAACACAGACACAAACACTTAGACCCATAAAGCACAGGGACATGCTTCCAGTGTTGCAGCTGCTGCTCTCTGTGTTGCTGTTGTCATCTGTGTTTGAGTTCCTGTTGCTGCCTTGATCCATCACAACCAGCACCCTGCCTGCACCCCCCGCCCCCCCCCCGCCCCCCCAGCAGTCTGAATTTATCAGCCATGATTGTCGTGCTAGCAATTTGTGTATGTTGTCATAAGAGGTTTTAAAGTAGTACTTTTAAATGACTAAGAATAGACGAGAAGACTAGAGGTGAGAGACGGATCCATTAAGTGTCTTCATTAAACACATTCAGTTTGTCATTATCAAATCTATTTATTGAATCAAACCTGAGACTCTTGTGGTAACATCATGTACTGTTGTAGCAGAGTCTGTGTTGTTCCAGGGACAGTAATCATTCTGTGGCAACATTTGATTTAAAATAGGAAAAAAAGGTTTTTGTCTGGATCATCTTGCAATGGTTTCTTTTAATTTTGGAACCAAGTGAAAAAATAGATGATACAGTGTTTGTTTTAATAATCATTTTGGCCACAAGAGGCTGTAGTGTCATAAACCCAGGGGATACAACTATTTAGATCAGACTCAGAAAATAAATTGTCAAAATGTTGTTTTGATCTCTAACCTCTCAGGACTTATAGTACGTAGGCTACTGCTTATGTAGAACTAAAACGTAATGTTTTAATGTGAATGTCTGAGAAGTACAACATCCATTTTCCTGTGACATGACAGGTGACTGGGTGGTCAAATACTTTGCATTCAGTTTGACCCAGCTCTGCTTCGATCCAAGCTCGACACACACCTTATTCTACTGTTGGGAGAGTGAGGTGGTGTCACAGTGTGATAATCACATGCATGTTTTGCCCCTCCATCCGAGCATGAGCACACTGAACATGATGCTCCTGAGTGTGGAGCTGTGTTGATTCTGTATTGTCCTGACAGCTGTTTACCTCTGCATTAGTACAGGAGTATCAAAACTTAAATGTTCAATCCTTTTGTGGTTGCGTTTACACTCTGGCATTTTTTCTTAAATTAGGTTTATTTCCCCAAAATAAACAGAAAAATAACTGTTGAATTGAGTAAACAGGTATCAGCTGTCAGGACGTCAGAGACGTGTGATGCTGTGTGCTGATAAGTCTTCTCTTCTCTTCAGGTCGGTCCCCTCCTGGTCTCGCCAAAACTCCTCTCTCCGCGCTGGGCTTGAAGCCCCACAACCCTGCAGACATCCTCCTCCATCAAACAGGCTCAGGTTGGTTATAACTCTCACTTTATTAGAGTCACACTAACTAAATCCAAGAAGTCACTGTTTTAACTACTGTACAACAAATGATAGAGCCAAAAAACATCAGATTTTCAGAGAGTTGAAAAATACAAAAATGAGGGATTAAAGTGGTGAATTTACTTCAGGGTGTCCGCAGGGTGTTAAAAAGTATTAAAAGTTGATAAATCAATTTAGCGAATATTAAGGCTATTAAAAAGTATTAAACGTTTTACATTTTGTAGCTTGTTTTCAATAAGTATATAAATGGTCCAAAGAGGTTGTATTCTTTAGTCTGCCTGAATGTAATCATTGCGTAGGTGTGTAGTGTGATTCTGTGTAGTTTATTTATGGCATCCCGTTGGGTTTGACATCATCTGAACAGGACATCGCACGCTCACTGCTTGATAGCGTGCGAAGGTCCGTTTACGCCGGTTGTTAAACAACATCGTTATGGGGTAATGCAAGTTTGCGTCCAAATGGTTGGAAGATAAGGAGGAAGGACAATCAATACTGTATATAGTCAATGTGAGGTCAAGTGTGTCGTCAATGTAACCGGTTAAAACTCCAAGCGGCGATGAGGTCTTAAAATGTATGGAAAGGGTCTTAAAAAAGGTCTTAAAAGGAATTACATTTTACTTCAGGATTCCTGCATATACCCTGTACTATAATACAATTCCTTTATTCACTGAGATTACAAAGTCTTAAATTCTCTGAGATGAAAGTAAAGAAAATCTTTAAAAACAGTGTATTTTTGTCAGGGAACTACAAAATCTGTGTGAAAACTCATATCAGCATTGTTTTTCGTATAAAAAGATATAAATCAAAATGTATTATTTGTGTATGTTACCTCATAGGATTCCCCTTTGAACACTTTACGCCAAGCAGCTAGCCTACCAAATTGACAAGCTTCTCTCAAAAATCTAAAATGTTTTGAGTGAAGGCTCAATAGTAAAACTTAAAAGCGAGTAATATTCCTCATGAGTTTCTTTGAATTGAGTCATACACACACACACTACTAATCAAAAGGAACAATTATAGCAGATACATTTCCGACTCCCTTCCCTTCCTTTAAATCACTCTATTTTTCTGGATTATCTCAAACGATGCCCCACAGATGATGAGAGCAGTGAGGGGGAGGAAGGTAAGATGCTGCTCTAACGCCACAGATCATCATCCACATTCAACCTTTGAATCTCCTCCATCCCATTACTCTCGACCTACAGTATTGCTCGGTAGAACTGTTTTAGAAACTATTTCCATTTCCTTTCTGGAAAAGTCACAACCACTCTCATGGCAGCATACCATAAAACATATTATTTCCATCATGTGCCGTTCAGTTTTCACAGTTTTCTTTTTTTGGGGGGCTTAAGATCACTGTCACCCAACTACAGTGCTACAGGGAATAACATAACAGTGCAGTGAAGCTGAAGTAAAGGTCATTTTTGGCTCACAAAGACTTGTTGTCTCTCACGCAGCACCAAGAAGCTATGTGGAGTCTGTGGCGATGTCGGCATCAACAGGCGGAGAGCAGCCGTCACCTCGGAGCCTCAGCCCCCCCGGAGAGACTGCAGCCCAGCAGAGAAGCCCCTCCTCCCACTCACTGAACCCCCCTCTGTCCAGCAGCAGCCCCATCCAGATCTCACAGAGGTCAGTCAGACACATTATGCTCGTTCACTCTTTGATGCAATATGGATGCTAGACAAGAATGTAGTGATTTTTATCAAAAATAAATAAACAAAGATATGATTTTTACATCTTTCATATTGTTTTCGACGTAGATAGGTATAGATGTAATCATGTTAAAGGACTACTTCTCCTCAAAATGTTCTCTTGTATGTCAGTCATCAAACCCATGTTATCTTCACATTTAAAAAAAGAATTATTGCCCTGGAACAAAAAAAAAAGAAATCAGTCAAACCTTACTATTTAAAACCCTTTGGCTTCTTCCTTTACCCTTGAGGTATGCACGGAATTCATGATAACATGGTGTGAGTGATTTATTGATGGACAAATTATCATTTTGGGAGGAATACATTCCTTCAATGTTTGATGTCTGCCAATTCATGCATCTAAATCAGGGGTCCCCAAACTTTGTCCTGTGAGGGCCACATAACTTTTCCCTTCTCTGATGGGGGCCGGGTCAGTTTGTAACAGAAAAAGTGTGACGATCGCATGGGTGTCTAAACGTAAACATTTATTGTTTTCTAGAAAGCCACACATAACCAAATATTAATAACCCTTTCCGGGATCTTCACAGAAAAAAAGTCAGGAAATAAATAATAACACTATTAATGAAATAAATAACACTATTTATGAAATAAATAATAACCAAATAACCCTCTCTGGGTTCTTCACAGAAAAAAAGTCCATTGAAAATTACCGTAACTTTCTGTTGTGCCGTGCACAATCTTAACAGGTAAAAGTTTAGCTTAGTTGTCAGAGCAGAATCTCTCAAAATAAACGTGGATTTACGTAAAAAAAACTATTTTTTCGGGGTTCGGGTGTTTTGTTTGATTTTAAACAAACAAAGTCTTGGCTTTCAGAATATGAAACTTTTATTTCCAATTTATTTATTTCTCACTCGCAATCTGCTCTTCCGCAGCGCCGCCCCCCCCTCACTCCGCTGAAATTATGAATGTAAGAGTATAGTAATCATAGATAACACGGCAGGGTCCGTTACAGTTTGTTTTCATCTGATTTCAATTAAACAAAGTCTTGGCTTTCAGAACATTAAACTTGTTTCGGCAAATTCAGATGATAAATACAACGTTGAAGCTTCGGCATAATTACAAGCGGAGAACGGCAGGTATAACAACAGCCGGTGTTTCTCGTGAGTGTTTTCCCCGGGAAACAAACACAATACACACAAACGCAAAATTACACAAGCACACACACTCACACACACACACACTCGCGAGCTTCCCCTCCAAACGAAAATATCTTCCCTCGGTAGTATTTTGATCATTTGCTCCGCTAATAATCAATCAGATCGATGGATTCCAGAGAAGAGACAACTTTGAAGGCCTTTTTCTCAAAATGATGACTCTGTGACAGTCATTATATAATGTGACATATTTCGCTTAATATTTGAAGTACAAAAACAATCCTGATATCATTAGAAAGCTAGGAATATCCTCTTTCCAACAGTGTATACAACTCAAAAGGTGTCTTCGGGTCAATGCGACTGATTTTGATAGAGCAGGTCACAACATTTTGACAGGGGCTAGTCTAGGATTCGCGTGGCCAGACTAAAAAAAAATAAAATAAAAAATAATAAAAAAAAAATATATATATTTTTTTTAAATAAATCATAATGCGTCTCTGGTATTGTTCAGGGGGCCGGGCCAAATGTGGAGGCGGGCCGTACCCGGCCCGCGGGCCTTAGTTTGGGGACCACTGATCTAAATGAACACTTTGGTGAATGTCAAACTCCTTGGTTTAATAAGCGTATCCCATTCCCTTGCAGTGATCACCTCTTAGTAGAGAGCAGCGTTAGCACTCCGTCCTACCCCACTACTGATTCCAGCTTCCGCTCCCAGGCTACAGAGAGCGCCTACCCCACTCCCACCCCCTCATACCAAACCCCCACCTCTTCCTACCTAAATTCCAGCTCTCCAACCTCTTCCTACCTTGACACTGCAACCCCTACACAATCCTACCATGGCGCCAACACCCTACTGGGGAGCTATGTGTCCTCAGACCCCAGCCCCCCTGCCTCAGAACCCTCCCTCAGCCATGGAAGCCCCCATGCACAGCACCGGAACGTCCTCATTGGCTCCCCTTACAACACCCTCCTCCAGCAGCGCTCATATCCTTATCAGGACACTGCCATCGTAGTCCAGCAAACATCCCCGGCTAACGGCTTCGATGTGGGGATGGTGGGCCTCAGTGGAAGTCCCATCCTGGGTGGTCGTCTGACGCAGGGGGCTCAGAGCAGCCCGGTCCTCAGCAGACAGGCCTCGTTGGGTCAGGGGTCCCAGCAGAGCCCGGTCCTCAGCAGACAGCCGTTCCTTGGCCAACCCATGCAAGGTAGCCCTGTGCTAAGTCGACAACCATCCATCACCCAAGGGAGTCCAATTTTGGGGCGTCACCCGTCTGTATCGCAGGTCTCCCAGAGGAGCCCCAGTCTGGACCGTCACCCCATGCACAGCGGGTACACCACCCCAGATGAGAGGCACGGGAACCTGTCACGGCAAAGCAGCTCCTCGGGGTACCAGGGACCGCCCACGCCTTCTTTCCCAATCTCGCCCGCAGGCTACCAGGAGGGAGGCATGATGGGGATGGGGGTAGGGTTCCGGCAGGGCAGCCCAGCTCCAGGGTTCCAGCCCCAGCTTCCGGAGAAGCGGCGCATGTCGAGTGGCGACAGACCCAACGGAGCGCAGTCCTACGGCACGCTGAATGGGAAGATAATGTCCCCAATGAGTGGAGGAAACAATCCCGGCTACTTCCACACCCTCTCTGACTTCTCGAGGTTCAACATGCCCGGTAAGGACATGACTTCTTTTGGAGAGACGTGACATTTTGGAGTTCTTGTCTGTTTACTTCTTTCATTTAGTTTCTGTGACATTATTTTGGTTTCCGTTGCAGATGGCAGTCCCGAGAGCAGGCTGAATGTCAAGTTTGTCCAAGACACGTCCAAGTTCTGGTACAAGCCAGACATTTCCAGGGAGCAAGGTAAGATGCTGAAAAACGTTCTCCCTTAACTGACCTTTAGACAAAAAAATGTTTGCCCTTTTAAAATTATACTTCCTATATGCCAGGTTCCTTCGGCAGTTCAGTGTGTACCAGTTTGTCAAAGAATGTTGATATTATATTGGATGTTTCCACCTAAGACCTGGTTGTTGGTGAATAGGATGATTAGGGACATTCAGGGAATATGAAAAAATCAAACCCCCTATTTGCTTCCAAAGTGGAACACTTACAGCATGCAACTGTGTTCAGAGACTGCTACATGTGCTGGCTGAAGTGCAAAAGGAATGTGTATTTAGCAATATTTCATCAGGAATATGTTATGTTTGGAACATACAACTCATGGAAATGGACATTGGAGAAGTGGATTATGCTGAGGGAGTGCTTTGCAAGATTTGACTGGACGTTCTTTGATGTACTTTTTCTCAATGTGGAACTACTGTAAGTCCCCATTGTTACTGGTGGAGTCATTTAAGATGTGGTTGGGGTGATTGAACTTTTATGCTTTTGTTAAATTCAAAATCATGGCGTTATATTTCACAAAAATAAGCACTGGAATTATCCCTTTTCACAAATGCATGAACAAACAGACACAATAATTAATATGCATGGCAAATAAAAATACAAACATGCATATACTGGTAAATAAACATACCTGTATGTGTGTGTTTGGTCGTAAGGTCAGCTTTGGCTGCACCATCAATACCAAACCTGCATTTGTTCATGGTCATATTGGATCATATCATGCTAAATTCAAGCACATGCTCAAATGAAGTGACATCACACACACACACACACACACACACACACAAGAACACAGAGTTTATACTTTGTGCCGTGCACTCCCAGAGGAAGCCACACCATATGTAGTGAATTAGGGAACATCTGCCTGTGTTGCTCATGTCATCCATCTTCCTTCCTTAAACTCTCACATGTGGACAGGCATTGAACTATAATTGATCAAAACTCTTCTCCTTGAAAGATAGCATGTCTGAAACAAAGGGTCTTGTTACATGTTGTAGTTTTAATGAGATCCAGACAGACAGTAATGTTTCTAACAATGAATCAGGACTTGAGCCTTTGCTCTTGGTCGTTACTTAAACGTGATGCTTTACCATTGCCATTATCTCCTACATACACTGGTCTTATGTGATTTATTAAGCTCTAAGCTAACTTAGACACACTACATCAGAAAAGCAACCATCACACTGTACTAAGGCACAGCCGTGCAAAATGCTTACAATGCATTATATTAGCTTAATGCTTAAAATGACAATGCTAACATTCTCATGTTTGGCAGATATTGTGTCCACAGTGGTCACCATTTTAGTGTTGTGAAATAGTATTCAATAATTTTCTAATTGGAATTAAACATTGAGTATAGATGAGGAATGGGAAGGTGTTTGATATTGGAAGAATTACATTTTTGATTGCAGTAGATGGAAGATAAGAGATCACCATAGTTGTACCAATTGTTCTCAATCCATCTAGTTGTTAAGACATTTCCCTTCAAACCAAATGACAACCAAGGTCAGGGGATCGAGTTAACAGGATGTATTGTCTTTAGACTGTGAACATCTGTACAATTTGTCCAGGCAATCCATCTGACAGTTGTTGAGATGTATATGGTGTGATTTAGGGTTGTCTCTCTGTCCTATTCTTGTGAATGCAATATGTTGAGAAGGCTAAGCAGATTCTATGAGGGGCCGTACAGGCCGTAATTCATACTGGTCCTCTCACACACATACATTCTCCTTTTACATACATAAATGTTCACTCTTACACACGTACATTCTCCTTTTACATACATACATGTTCACTCTCACACACATACATATTTACACTCACACATTCATACATTTTGCTCTCATATTATCATATTTCAATGCACACATTCATATATTGTCACTCACATATTTATACATTTTTCACTCAAACATATATACATTTTGCTCTCATATTCATATATCTTACTCTCATGCACATTCATTCAATGTTTACATTTAATATTACAAATAATATATGCATGTCTGAAGACAATAAATGTATGCAAGAGAAGAATGCAAGTATGTGTGAGAGAAAGTATAGTGTAATGTAGGGGTGTAACGGTTCACAGAAGTCACGGTTCGGTTCGTACCTCGGTCACGGTTCGGTACAACAAGAAAAAGCAAAAAAAAGTCCCAAATGCATAATTCCAGGTTTGTTGTTATTTATGTTTGAACAGTAGTGCAAGTTTCAGTTTAAAAATAAAGAACTCTGACATTTTGAATTAACTAACTATATTAAACAGTTAAAAACAAACCTTACACAGTAAACTCAGATGGCCATATTATCTATAATGGCTGATGTCAAACAAAAAGGTTTCATCAAGCTGTAAAACTAAAAAGAATGTCTTGAAAATATGACATCATAAATAATAAGAAAGTGTTTCAAGCGCATAGTCGTTGAAAAACATATGCCAAAAGCTTCCGTTATTTATTTTGGTCTCTCGGCTCTCATGTCTCTTGGCTTCTTAAAGACAGCGGGGATCAGCTGTTGAACTGCTGTTGTCTTTTGCCGGGCTCCGGTGATTGGCAAATCTGGGTGATGCCTTCTGATATGATTTAGCATGTTTGGCATGTGTTACCATTAGCATACCGCACCGCTGGAGAACAACGGCGAGACACTGTCCTCGTCCGATCCACCACTCGTCCGATCCACCACTCGCACACTTCATCGTTATTGTAGTCCACAGGGAACCCGAAATGTTCCCACACGGCTGATTTAAAAGAAGCAGGTGGGTTCTAGCTCCTGTGTGCAGTGGCGACTGGTCATTAGGGGCAGGTGGGGCACAGCCCCACCTAGTGTCAGCAGAAAGTATTAAAAGTAATGATTACAAAAAAATGCAAAAAATAAATTAAAAAATATATAAAATATATTTTAAGATCATGTTTATTCATCTGATTCGTCTGTACATTGCTGTTTTAGTCTGTGTTCTTCTAATTAGTGTCTACAGTGTGTGCCTATTGAGCTGTTTTAAGCCATGTGGGACAAAACCCGATCCTGCCCCTCCCTCTCCCTGTTTAAGTCAATGGTGACTGTAAAAACTACACTGCGCATGCTCAGAGTATTGTCCTATTTAATGTGTGTGGCAAAAAAATAATGACCATAGGGGCATAGAGCTGCCATCCCCACCATACGTCATCTCACATCATTCAGAGCTGATTGGCTGTAAGTACGTGTGCCGCGAAAAGTGTGGTGTGTGAAGAGGAGACGAGAGAGCTGCAGTGAGGCGTCCTAAAACCAGGAAGTAAGCTGCGCATGGCTTCCCTCCACAAAAAAGCAATGATATTTCTCCATAGGATTTTAGAAAATAGCTCAAAATAAGATCTGTGGGAAACAAACCTGTTAGATAAATGCACGTTTTGTTCAGCCGGATAATATCCACATGTCTACCCTACTTTTATAATTTTCGAATCATAAATCTATTGATTAGATCAGATTTATGATAGACTTTTGAAACTACAATAACATAAGGAGGACTTTTACAAAAAAGTAATAGAGATGTTTGTCCAGAAGGATAGGCAAATGGACTTCATCTTCATGTCAAGGTAAGACTGCAATTTGATTGAAAATGGGATCTTACTGAGAGAGAACAATTCAATATTTAAATGATACAATTACATTTGTTGGGTATCCTTCTGTTGAACTGTCTGTTTAAAATTAATTGAAGCATCAGACAAAAAAAGCTTTTGAAAATAATATGATATTTTGATTTAGGTCAGAATATAATATTTGTAAACCTGAAGAGTCAGAGCCTCAGCAGCCATGAACCTCACTGCAGAAGCTTATATATAGACATCTAAGTTTTTTGTGCCCCACCACTTTTGTACATATAAAAACGCCACTGCCTGTGTGTTATCTGAAATCGCCATACTAACTTTTCTTCTTCTTGTATTTTGTTCGTTTTGTTGTTGTGTTTCTTCTGGGCGGCTGCCAACAGCTTTTAGGCGCAATACCGCCCCCTGGATTATATATAGTGTACTGCCCTGTACGACAGACTTTTTTCCCACTCGTAAAAAAAAGGCGTATTCGTCGTGTGACTGCGTGTGCCGAACCGTGACGTCTGAACCGTGACGGTACGGGACGAATACGGATACCGTTACACCCCTAGTGTAATGGGATCAAATCTAGAGTTATGACGGTTTGGACAGGTCTTGTATGTTTATGATAGGGTTAGGGTTAGGGTTAGGGTCAGTGGTAACCAAATGGTTGTTGACTGAACTGAATGTCCCCCCTGTTACAGCGATTGGCCTGCTGAGAGAGAGGGAGCCAGGAGCCTTCGTTATTCGGGACAGTCACTCGTTCAGGGGGGCTTACGGCTTGGCCATGAAGGTGGCCTCCCCTCCCCCCACAGTGCATCAGAACAAGAAAGGTAAAAGGCAGGATGAAGCATAACATTCATAAAGTACTAATGCAACAAGTATTTACCAAAGATGTGAAGTGATGTCTGCATGTGACTCAGCTGTGTTTCCCGCTCTTTTGTTGCAGGTGACGTCAACAACGAGCTGGTCAGACATTTCCTGATTGAGAGCAGCCCTAAAGGAGTGAAGCTGAAGGGTTGTCCTAACGAGCCGTACTTTGGTCAGTGGAATCATCAATCCTCCCTGAAATACACTTTTACATTCGCACTGATTTTGCATTAAAAGTGTAACACTAGTGCTCCTTTTCTGCATGTCCTTCTGAGTTCCAAAACATAGAATCCTACAATAAGAACAGTATTTACTGATCCAACTCATGTTTACTTCAACCCAAAACTCAATTCATCACTCTTTTCCTTGTGTAAAGTTTCAGTTTGGATTATTGATGTTAATACTATAATAATGATGGTGTGTTTTTCTCTAACATACTAAGAGTTTATTTTTCTTACCATTGTTAATCAAGAAGCCATATTAACCAAATCCATTGATCCTAAAAAGTTGAATTGTGGAAAGAGGCTTAATTGTGAACTATATGTGTTTACAGTTCTTGGGGAATACTACTGCACATTGTACTGTTGTAACGTGTTTTGTAGCTGTATTGCTTGTCTGTGACGGTGTCCTGTGTCTCTTTGACAGGCTGTCTGTCTGCCCTAGTCTACCAGCATGCCATCACACCGCTGGCCCTACCCTGCAAACTACTTATCCCAACCACAGGTCTGTTGCTCCAAATGTGTTCACAAAGGTTCACACATTTTCAATTGATGCTTTGTTGTGAGTGTGACGTAGACTTTGAACACATTATGTAAACAGGCTTTCTTCAACAAAAAGTATAACACAAGTTACATAAAGTAACTTTCATTAAAAAAAATAAAAAAATGATTAGGATTATACAAAAGCCATGAGAGGAGAGTGAGAAACGTACATTTGGTGTTCCATTTTCTAACTCTAATGTAACATTTTGGGTAGTGATTCTTTTGGTTGTTTTGACCAGGACCAGTTCTGTTTGTTATACTTATTTTTGTCACAAGAGGCTGAAGAGCACCAAGACCCCATGTTCTAAATAGGACTAAGAGCATAATGATTTCTTCCAGTTGAGTTTCATTTGGCCATTCATACTTAAGCTCACCTGGAACAATATATTATTGATTTCAGAATGGGATGTGGTGCACTTCCAACCCAGTCTCACGGCATTTCGTGTTATAGTCACGACATGTAATCTATTGATTCGTGTTCACCAACACCATTTCCCCTTTTTTTCGTGTCACACAGAACGATTTTAAAAGCATGTATTTCTATTGGTAGTATGTTTCGTGCCTGCAGCACGTCTTTTTGTCCGGTCGGGTCTTGGAAGACCGGAAGCTGTGTGGTTCATAAAAACATGTTATTACTCAATATCAAGCCACGATTATTGTTTTGATTTTAAATCGTATAATGTCGGACTTTTGTTGTCGTCTGTGAGGAAAATAAATGGGGCTCAGAGCCTCAGAATACTGAAATCTGTATTTTTAAAAATCTTTTTTTCCTTCTAATTTGTTATTCTTTTCTAAATAACACACTGTTATTTACTCACCAATAACACACTTTTCAGTGGGTGCACAATAAACGGTAACATACAAATGAATGTAAATAAATTTGCGTCGGGCCGAACCACGCCTCTTAGCTGTGATATAATCACTGTCGTGAGCTATTGGTTAAATATATATATAGAGATGATGATTACTTTTATACAAAAATTGTTTAGAAAAATATGAGGAGAAGTTTATGTTTAATCCGTGTATGGTTCGTTCTTTGATTTTTCTGTTTTTAAACCAAAACGGGTTAACAAGAAAGTTACCGGTTCGCCAAGGAGGAAGTGGAGCACACAGGAGGGAACCGTTTCATTGCAGACTGTTATGTTTATGTGGGGAAATGGCAGCGCATACATTATTTGAGATATGCGTGCCTGGCAAACCATTTTCTTATATCCTGCAACCATTTCCCACCAATCAGGACACGGTATTAATAAAAAAGTTGATTCCTTTCCCTGCCAATCAGGACTGCTTTCAGTTTTATTACCCCGGACTTATAAAAAAAAAGATTATTTTTTCAATAAAGTGAACATATTAATCAATTATATATAAATATATATATATCATTTATTATGATTTATATATAAATATATATATATATAAAAATCTCTGGCCCCCGAAAGTGTCTCTTGGATTAATTTTGGCCCTTAGACAAATGTAGTTGGTGACCCCTGCCCTACTGATTTAGCCCCTACTGACTGTTGGCACTATTTATTTTCTCACTTGACTCTCAGGTCTTAGTACCCACATTTTAAATTAGTTTTGTTCCAGGCTAAAACCTGGTAATATATTGTTGCTAGGTATAACTTAAAACTGATTACAATAATTGTCAGTTAATAATTGCCACTAGATATATAGAGTATAATACCAGTAGTGAGATTGGAACCTCCAGTATAATTAACACAGTAGGCATATGCTGATGTTTAGTAAAGCAAATCATTACAAAATATTGCTCCAAACTAGGGATGCTCCAATCGGGCATTTTGGGGCCGATCGCCGGAATCAGTATCGACCGACCCGATCGGGTGGGTGGGGGCTATGGGGATCTTCCATTTAAAGTGATGTTTAAAACTCAGTTAACGGGGCTCATTTTTATATTGCTTCAGTTTATAATCGTAACGGACCGAAAAGTTCAGATTTTCAGAATTTTTCGATACATGATGCGCTTCCACAAACAACAACCAACATAATTATTACATTCAAATGAAGTACATTATTCAAGTTTGCATTAACTTTGGAGAATAACACGGGAGAAATGAGCGGAAGCGCTCTCTTTTCCTCTCTCCCTCTCCTGACAGCCTGTCAGTATCGTCTCATGCAGCTCACTGATCCAGTAATGAGTGACCCGACAGTGAAGAATAAACACATTGATAACTAGTTTAGATAAAATAGCTAAGTGTGTTAGGTCCAACTCTTAGTGTGTGTTTTGCTCCGCTCACCGGTCCGTCACAGCGGGCGGAGCTGCAGGATTTCTGCTTCACACACGTTGCATACCGCTATTTTATTGTCTTTTTCGGACACCTTAAAATACTGCCAGACCGGTGAAGCCATTTTGGCGAGCTTGTTTTGCCGCGCACAGAGAAAAATGTATTTTACGTCATGTGATCGGCTCTCCTGATCGGCCTTTATAGAGAGCACCGATCGATCGGCCGTGAGTGAATATCGGCCGATCGATCGGAGCATCCCTACTCCAAACCCAACAGGAGCCCTTAGTGCAACTCAGTACATTTTTGGTAACCTTGTTGTATTATTTTACTTTTTTAGATCTCCTTGAGGAGGTGCCAGAAGTCGCTGCACCGAATCCTCTGGCTGAGAGGCTGAAACAAGGAGCAGGTAAAACATAATCTCACTTTCATTCATTCTCATTTCTTAAAGCCGACCCAGCTTTGAGATTCTAGGACTTTAATAATGAAGTTATCACCATCCTATGCACTTGTTCTGACAACATGACATCCTTGTTATCCCAGTGCAGAGGGCCCCTGCTGATGCCCATGGTAAACCCTGTGCACTTTTATTCAGAAACCTACATCTGGAATGTGCATCCTCTATGTTTGTACGTGTATGTTTAACCTGCACAAACCAAGATAAAATATAAATGGCTTCCATTTGACGGGTTGTGTCTGTTAACAGCTGTCCAGCTTCTTGTCTGTCAGAGGCAGAATGTTTTATGTGGAATGACTTCTATGGATTATTTTCTAAAACTGTTTGACTCCAGCTTTCTTCCAGACAGCATGTTCTCAAATAAGAGGAAATACATATGTTTGCATGAATAGGTGAACATAGGCATTTTGAGCAGAATTCAAAACTAGTGTGTTATATGTTTCCTTGTTTTAAGCCTTTACTTTGACATTCCTTGTTACCTGACCAAGACATTTGCTCTCTTCCCAGCATGCAACGTGCTCTACATCAACTCAGTAGACATGGAGTCCCTGACAGGCCCTCAGGCTGTTGCCAAGGCCATATCTGAGACACTGGCTGCCACCTCCCCAGCTGCTGCCACCGTGGTGCACTTCAAGGTGTCTTCACAAGGCATCACGCTGACTGACAACCAGAGGAAGTAAGTCTGGATTCCATCTGTCTGTCTACTGTTAAACAATGTTTAAAGAATGACTCAAGATCAACATTGCATGACATGAGGAGATTTAGCTGCAGACAGAGGGTTGTCTGAACACGTAAGATACACAATTTCGTTTTTTTCACAGGATTAAAGTATGAGGGTTGTATTATATCTGACAGTGTTTCCATCAAGAACCCAATTTTGTTTTGTGTTCAGTGCCAAGGTAAATAAAACCTTAAACCAAATAATACTTTAAACATGAACTCATCCATCACCATAAGCTTATCGCAAACATATTGAAACTGTTTTAGAAATAGATGTAGGACTATATAAATACCAAAGCTATGTTAGGGGTTATATATATATATATATATATATATATATATATATATATATATATATATATATATATACACCATGTCCTGTCCATCATATATCATTTTGTTTTTATATCAGCCAATATTTCATCATAATATTGACCTAAAAAACGTAAGGAAATTGAGCAATGATGTTGATTTACACAGATAGACTATAAGAAGTCAACATAGTCACCTTTGTTTGAGTTAGGCATCAACCATCTTGATGTTTGGAACTAGCAGTGACACAAGAGAGTGGAGCTTAACACAACATAACACAATATTTTACGGTGATCAAATGTTAGTTAACTTTCATGAACAGGACAACAATGTGGTAGCAGCCTGTAAATCCCAAGGTATTCACGCTAGAGCAGGGGTCGGCAACAGTCCGGATCCGGACCCAGACACCGACCTATACGGACCCGGACCTATAATCAATACATTAATAGGGGATTTCAATTTTGACGGGGCGATTCAGTTTTAACCGCCGCCGACAGGGGGCGAAAGAGACGAGTGAGCGATACAGGGAGAGAAACACAGAAGAAGAGACGAGTGAGCGATACAGGGAGAGAAACACAGAAGAAGAGACGAGAGAGCGGCAGGGAGAAGCGGAGAGGAAAGTGAGTGAAGAGAAGAGTTAGCGATACAGGGAGAGAAGCGGAGAGGAGAGTGAACAGGCGTGTTAGCGGCAGACAGTGAGAGACACATAATTACACATGGCGCTCTCTAAGAAGAGGAAAGTGGACAGTGAGAACAGAGCTTTTAACCCTGAGTGGACAGACTCATTCATGTTCATCCTGCCCACTGGGAGCACAGAACCAGTGTGTCTCATTTGTTCAGAGACCGTGGCGCTCATTAAAAGTGCCAAAACGCCACTATGAGACAAAACAGAAAGTGTTTGACCAAACATTCCCTCTCAAGTCAGAACTGAGGTCACAAAAAATAAGCAGTCTCAGAGCCCAATATGATCAGTCCACCAGGATCAACATTAAAACTAAATATCGTTCCAGGGCAGGCTAACCGAGGCTAACCAATGAGCACCTGCATGTGTGTATGAGAATGGCCCTGACACCATTTCAGCCCAGATTTAAACTCCTGGCAGGACAATAAGCTCCAGCTCAATTCTCGCACTGAATTAAACAAAGTGAGTGAGGGACTGCAATATAAGAGGGAAAGAAAGAGACACTTTAAAACTGTTCAATTGTTATGATGTGTAAAGACTGATATTGTTCTATAATCGTCTGAAACTGTTAAGTCATGATGTGAAACGGTTAACAAAGAAAGAGGGAAACTCAAGCGGCTGCTACACTTTATTTTATTTATCTAAAATTAAGCACTTTTAAGATGCACACATTTTCAAAAGCTATTTTATTTATTTTCTCTATTTTATTTTTAAATGCAGCCCGAGAGGAACATTACACATATCCACAGTAGTTACTGTATATCTGTATAGTTCAATGTTAATTGACAATACATATTGTTGTTTTTGAATTGTACTTTCTTTATTTGATTGGCAGTCAGTTGTTGATTACATGCAGACGTTGATTAAGCTACAGGCTACTACAATATATATCACACTAATTCATAAAGCAACTCAGACATTTTGATGTTCCGGACCTTTGCATGGGGACATTTTCTCTAACTGGACCTCATCAAATTTGAGTTGAATACCCCTGCTGTAGAGCATACCCTCTTTATTGTTCTTTGTTTACTAAATGAACATCATGCTGTATTGAAGAAGACTTAAAGCTAGCAATGTAGACCATAAACTGTCACGGTGGTGGTAAATCCAGTGAGAAGTAAGGTCATTTTCTCACAGACTTGCAATCAGACTTCTTTTGCCCCAATTTGGTCATTGGAAAGAAGTCAAGTAAATGGCCCCTTGATCACAAAGCAACTACAAAGACCAGGGGCCTCATTTATAACTCATTTACGTGGGAAGGTTGCTTACGTAGTACAAAGCAAAAAAATAGGTACAGACATTTTCCGACATTTTCCGATTCACAAAACATTGCGTACCGGCGAGGGAAGTGCGTACGGCACTTCCTACGCCTGTTTCCCTTTATAAATCACAATCGACTCGAAATGCGGCGCAGCTATTGCGGGCTTCACGTAACGCCCATATTTGCTCATAAATAGTTATTGATACGCCCATAATGAATATTCATCAAACCGATTTCAGGCAAAAATGAACATGGCAAAGACAGAAAAAAGAGGCAAGAAAAGAAACTTCAATAACTGTGAAGTTGAAATCCTCGTCGGAGAAGTAGAGACAAGGCAAAACATTTTGTTTGGTGGCCATAGTATTGGTGTAATGAATGCCAAAAAGGCAGCAGAGTGACAGTTGGGGCTTTGTTTACAAACATGGTTTGTGTTCCAGCTGCCGATCAGCTGTGCGCAGCGGCTCCACTGCACCATGTGTGTCTCAAAGCCACCGCAACAACTCTACCCACCACTTAAATGAAATAAAACAAATGTGTTGTGTTAAATCAGCTGTACAATTATCCAAATATATGGTGTTTTTAGTTTCCATACCTCCTGTGTTTTACCAGCGACTTATCAAGTCTTGGCAAACGGCATAAAACACGATTAAACGTGATAGTATATAAAACCATGTTCGTATCTACAACCTATAGAAATGCAACACGGCGTCAGTTTAGACGTAATTCTGTCCTCCTGCTTACCGCATAATTTATGAGAAAACATTTCATAACATTAACACAACATATTCAAGGTGGTTTTAAATAACATATTTATTTATTTATTTCTCCAAGTTATGTTCTTGTGTGCACTGAGGAGTCGCAAACAGGCGTTCGTTAAATCATTTTAAGATTGGCTTTAATCAATGTTTGAAAATGAATTCTTCATATATGATAAATGAGAGGTAACATTTTATTTATGGTATTATTTCCACATATTTCTCTCCATTCTTCCTTCTGCCAACGGTGTCGCAGTTTCTCGTCTCTCCCGTTGTTGTGCTTAGTGCGTACGCATGGGTTAGAGTTTGCGTGGAGGACCGCACATTTTCCCGTCAAGTTAGTATTTTATAAATCGCAAACATTGCGTAGAAACTGGCGTACGCCATCTTTTGAGCGTATATCCCTTTATAAATGAGGCCCCAGAACATTTGAGAAAAAAAGCACACATAGTCACAAAAGGTGCTACAAGTGGCTACACTAAAAGTCAGACACAATACTGAAGTGAGTTTGATCATTTGGTGTACACTTAATAGAGTCTGAGTTGAGTTGTAGTCAGTTTAAAGTCCAAACTAACCACTAACCCCCCCCCCCCCCCCCCTTACTGCTTAACGCTTCCTCCAGATTTTGACGTACTATAGAACATATCATCTGCTAATCCACAGAATAAGCATCTTCAACATGTACATTCTTTTATTTTTCTAATCTCCATTTTTGTATTCTGCTTTTCTAGGCTTTTCTTCCGACGCCACTATCCTACCAACACTGTCACGTTCTGCGATACTGACCCTCAGGACAGGAAGTGAGTACAGGAGGTTATCTTTTTTATTCCAAAAGTGGTTTGATTCAGAATTAAGTCCAAACACTACAGCTCTGGAAACAATTAAGAGACCACTTTAGTATTATCAGTTTCTCTGGTTTGACTATTTATAGGTATGTATTTGAGTACAATTAAAATGTGTATATGATTCTACTACTGACAACATTTCTCTGTGTTGGAATTCAACAGACATTTTTTGCAGAGCTGAAGGAAGCTCTGCAAAAGGATACTCCTTTTTTTAATTATGTATTATGGATAATGTATTCTTAGTCCACCATTTTTTTATCTGCATTTCACTTAAAGTGTTAACCCAAACTTTCTTCAAATATTTTCAGGTGGAACAAGCCTGAGGGCGGCACAGCTAAGTAAGTTAAACATTTTGAATCACTACTTTTTCTGTAGTCCACATTACATATAGTGCCTAGTACACATAATCCACATTCATATTTTATGCTGAAACAACATCATTTTACCTTTTATTTAGAGTGCATAGAGTTATTGTTACTCTCCTGTAAGAAAACACACATCTTTTGAGTCAGATGTAGGACATAGGGAGGTGGTGCACTTCACCTTCTTGTGGTCAAAATGTGTATTACAATAACAAACAGTTCCTGACAAAAAATATTTGTACCTGCAAAAACCTTTACATATATAAACATTTAAAACGTCTTCATTATAAAAGCTAGTGGCTACTTTCATCAATCTAAATGAATGTCCTTTAAAATCTCTCATATATATATATATATATATATATATATATATATATATATTCTGTGGAATATTGATACTGTATGTGTGATGGAAATTATTTTTTGTAACATTGCATTTAGCTGATGCTTTTATCCAAAGCGACTTATAATAAGTACATTCGACCAGGAAGACACAACCTTGAAGAAAACAGAATCATATAAGTACATCAGGTTTCATAGAGCCAAACATTTCAAGTGCTACTCAACTGGCTTTAGATAAGCCAGTCCTTTATTAGTATAAAAGTGCTTTGTTAATAATTCTATCGCTCGAAGTGGAGTCGAAAGAGATGAGTTTTCAGTTTGCGCCGGAAGATGTGTAAGCTTTCTGCCGTCCTGATGTCAATGGGGAGCTCATTCCACCATCTTGGAGCCAGGATAGCAAACCCACGTGTTTTTGCTGATGGGAACTTGGGTCCCCCTCGCAGTGAGGGTGCAGCGAGTCGTTTGGCTGATGCAGAGCGGAGTGCACGCGCTGGGGTGTACGGTTTAACCATGTCCTGGATGTAGGAAGGGCCAGATCCATTCGCAGCATGGTAAGCAAGTACCAGTGTCTTGAAGTGGATTCTAGCAGTTACCGGAAGCCAGTGAAGGGAGCGGAGTGGTGTGGGAGAATTTAGGAAGGTTGAAGACCAGACGAGCCGCTGCATTCTGGGTGAGCTGCAGAGGTCGGATGGCACATGCAGGTAGACCAGCCAGGAGGGAGTTGCAGTAGTCTAGGCGTGAGATGACGAGAGCCTGGACCAGAAGCTGAGTCGCTTTCTGAGTCAGCTGGGGACGTATCTTCCTGATGTTGTAAAGCGTGTATCTGCAGCAGCGGGTTGTAGCAGCGATGTTTGCAGTGAAGGACAGGTTGTTATCTAGGGTCACACCCAGATTCCTTGCAGTCTGAGTCGGGGAAACAACTGAGGTGCCGATGTTGATTGTTAGGTCAAGAGTGGGACAATCTTTTCCCGGAAGGAAGAGCAGTTCAGTCTTGTCAAGGTTGAGCTTGAGGTGGTGAGCAGACATCCACTGAGAGATATCAGCTAGACAAGCAGAGATGCGTGCGACGACCTGGGTCTCTGAGCGGGGAAAGGACAGAATTAATTGGGTGTCGTCAGCGTAGCAGTGGTATGAAAAACCATGCGGGCTAATGACTGATCCGAGCGAGTTTGTGTACAGGGAGAAGAGGAGGGGACCAAGAACAGAGCCCTGAGGGACCCCTGTAGTTAATTGACAAGGGTCGGACTCAGACCCTCTCCAAGTCACCCTGTAGGTACGGTCTTTGAGGTATGAGGTGAGGAGGGAAAGTGCAGAGTCTGAAACTCCAAGTTTTTGGAGAGTGCGAAGGAGGATCTGATGATTCACCGTGTCGAATGCAGCAGACAGGTCCAACAGGATGATGACAGAGGAGAGGGATGCAGTGTTGGCAGTGTGCAGTTCCTCAGTGACAGCAATGAGAGCAGTTTCTGTGGAGTGACCTGCCTTGAAACCAGACTGGTGCGGATCCAGAAGGTTGTTCTGATGGAGATAACAGGAGAGTTGTTTAAAGACAGCGCGTTCAAGTGATTTAGACAGGAACGGGAGGAGAGAGACAGGCCTGTAGTTTATAACATCAGACGGGTTGAGAGTGGGTTTCTTTAGGAGAGGGTTTACTCTTGCCTCCTTGAGACTGTTTGGAAAGTGACCAGAAGTTAGAGAAGTGTTGATGAAATGGGTGAGAAACGGTAGAATATCAGGAGCGATAGTCTGAAGGAGGTTTGAAGGGATAGGGTCCAGAGGACAGGTGGTAGGGCGGGCAGAGGTAATGAGGGTAAGGACCTCACTTGGAGAGAGAGGGGAAAAGGAGGTAAGTGTGTTGGTGGAAGGAGGGTCTGGTGACCCAGCGGTGAGTAAAGGTGAGTCAGAAAAAGAAGAGCGAATATCATCAACCTTTTTTTCAAAGTGGATAACAAAGTCGCTTGACAGAAGTCAGGAGGGGGGAGGAGCTTTTGGAGGGTCCAAGAGGGTGGAGAAGATGGAAAATAGTTTTTTGGGATTGGAATAGGAAGATTGGATCTTATCTTGAAAAAAAGTGCTTTTTGCCTGAGAGATCGAAGCAGAGAAAGAGGAGAGGAGAGCCTGATAGGTTAGGAGGTCGTCACGGTGGATTTCCACCGTTTCCGCTCTGCTGCCCTAAGGACGGTTCTATTAGCACGCAGTGCGTCATTTAGCCAGGGAGCCGGAGGGGACTGACGAGCCTGCAGAGATGTGAGAGGACAGAGAGAGTCCAGAGAGGATGAGAGAGTAGAGAGGAGAGTTTCTGCAGCAGAGTTTGGAGGCAGCAGTTGGAACGAGTCAGAGGAAGAAGATGCTGGAACACTGGAACTGATTTCTTAAACACTTGAGTTTATTCAAAAGGCTTGGCCAAATAAACACACATTGTCACTACCAAACAGAGCACAGGGGTCTTAGGACAGATCTTGCTGTAGTCAAAACATGTACATACATGCCAGAAACTCAAAAAGGTGCCACCTAAAGATTTACATGGTGTGACCTAGCAGTGACCAAAGACTTACGTAAATAATTCCTTACATAAAAAGGACTTTGTAGGAACCAAAATGCTGTGGTAGCTTGTGTTTATAGTTATATTATCTTCATTAGTTTACACACACACACTTGTAATGGGTTGTTTCCGGTAATTGTCACATGTCTGTGGTTAATGGTATTTAGGGCACCTGGTGTATGTGGAGGTTTAGTAGCATGACAATGGGGTGGGCTTAGCTCTGATTTCTGTTGACCGTATGATTCTGTTTGTTTATTGTTTTGATTTACAATATTAAATATCACATCAATGAGCAAAGTGTAGCCTCAGAGCGGCCGTATTCAATGGGAATATAGCCGCCACAAGCATTCTAATATATAAAGAAATGTTATGTATTAATAGATAGGCATTATCTCCTCAGTCCAATGCTTCAACATGGCAGCTTTACTAATGAACCCCTAACCTTGTCTTTCCAGGCTGTTTGGGTTCGTGGCGCGTAAGCAGGGAAGCACGACGGACAACGTGAGCCACCTCTTCGCCGAGATGGACCCCGACCAGCCCGCCAACGCCATCGTCAACTTCGTCTCCAAGATGATCGCCGTGCAGAAACGATGAGAGCCGTCAACAAACCCTGCCACTTTTTATTTCAATGCCTTTTTTTAATTTCCTTTAAACCACAGACACTTACTTTCAGTTTTTGGACGATTTGGTTTTTACGTGTCACCTTATTTTTCCCACTCTTTTTAAATGTACATGTGTCTGTGCGTGAAAGAGTGCAAGACAGAGTGTGTGTGTGTGTGTGTGTGTGTGTGTGTGTGTGTGTGTGTGTGTGTGTGTGTGTGTGTGTGTGTGTGTGTGTGTGTGTGTGTGTGTGTGTGTGTGTGTGTGTGTGTGTGTGTGTGTGTGTGTGTGTGTGTGTGTGTGTGTGTGTGTGTGTGTGTGTGTGTGTGTGTGTGTGTGTGTTTGCGTGTGTTTGCGTGTGTGTGTGTGTGTGTGGCTTACGTGCATTTGTGCTTTTCTTCTTGGACGGACTCCAGAATGGATCAGAGGAAGTGCAGGATGGGGCGTGGCTGTGTGACAATGGGAGGGGTGATTTTCGATCGCCCTGGCAGGGTAATGCATGAACAGGAAGGGGGAATGACGTAGAGTGTGCAAATGTTATCTTGTTAGCAATTGTTTCATTTTTTTTTTTAAAGAAGAAGTCAAGTTGTGCGATGAAATGGTGGATTGTAAATCTATCAGGCTTTCCGACTGGTCAACCAAAGATTTAAAAAAAGAAGTAGCCGGGGCGCGTTTAGCGCGCCGCTGTCGGAGGGTCGGAAGTATTCTTTTGTAAAACAAATATGGCTGCTTAATCAAAAAATACTGTTTCTTTCTGTATGTACTGATACTGTAGGTCAATTCCGCACCTGTGCCATGGTGCAAGAATTGTCTCCGGACATTTCCGCAGCCGGTCAGGTGTTTGTAAATAATCTAGATTGCTTTATGAGTAGGACTGTTCTAGAAGACATGTGGTGCCTGCCTTTCTTCTGTAATGCAGAGCTTTTTAAGAAAAAAACCCGTAAAGGCTGTCTTAAATATGCAAATAGTCAAACTTGGAAACTAGGTGATTCTTCAGAATTCCACCTTTTCGATGTAGTAGTGCGCTGACAGAGGTTATTCCTTGGAAATCTGAAAGCTAAAAAATGATTTTCTTGCAAATCTACGCAAATTCTCTGGATTTTTGGGGGATAAACATCCTGTCTGCCACCAGTCTATGTTCAGTCACACTATTTTTCGCGCATTACTGAAGGGCCTAACGTTGTTCCGTGATGAACTTTCTAGAAAAGTGTTGCTATACTGCTCTTCAGTTTTTCCGGTTATTCCGTCAACAGCTCTTTTGCATCAGCCGGCCAAAACTGTTAACACCCTACCCAAAAGTAAGCTATACATATAAATATACATATATAGATATATATAAAAAACTTCCAAACAGTGACTTAAGATATTTATTTTTATGCTTTGTTGCTCTATGTTATCTTGTATACATGTATTATAAAGTATACACCAAGATTACTGAAAGCGAGAAGAAAATATATTTTCTTTTCTATTATTTTTGGCAAGTGCATTGACATATATATGGTGTAATAAGTGTGTGCATTTCAACTGTTGTTGTTTTTTATGTTTTTATCACAGCATTTCTTCCTTTTGTTAACATTTTTGTTTTGTGGGGAGGCTTTGTTTATGAGGGGGGTATTTTGTATGAAAGATTTCTGTTACTAAAGTCCAAATTGGAGTTATTCTAAAGCCAACACAATTGTTTTATTAACTTAAACCTGCATAGAATACATTGTCAATCAATCAATGTTTATTTATATAGCCCAATATCACAAATGTTAAATGTGTCTCAGTGGACTTCACAGTTTGTACAGAATATCAGTATGACAATGTCCAAGATTAGCACTTAAATGTTGAAGTATTATCATTGTGTTTCTACTTGTCAAAAGAGGAGGAAATGGACATTAATGGAACCCTTTCATGTCATGATTGCATGTTACTACTTCCTGTAGTCATGTTGTAGTTTCTCCTCAGCATGGGTCTGGAGCTTGTTCCTGGAACACTAGTCGGATCAGTCAGTAGCTGCTGCCCTCATGTGGTCAGGAGACATCATTACAAAAGGAACCACTTTTATTTCTAACAGTGTTTTAGCTGTGGCATGTCAAAGGGTAAATGTTTGAGTAAATTCAACACTGAGAAAATGAGCTTTGATTTTCACCTTGATTCATTTGGCCTTTTCCTTATCATACAATTTTATTTTGGCATTTTGAAATGTGAAACCTTAAGATGTTATTCCTGGTTGTTTTGGCGACACCCTATTTACTGGTGGTAACAGCTAATTTGTATTAAAACTACAAGTCCCAGAATGCAGAGGGCAGCAATACAATTAATAAAGTAATTGATTACGAAGTCAATACAGACATCCAGTTCACAATACTGCAAAAATATGGATTTTGCAAAACCATACACTCAGTCACCAACTTTATTTGGCAATAGATAGTAACTCTTCAGACATTAAGAGATTATGACTCCTTCCTTTTCTGATGCTCTTGTATCAGTTGGCAGCATGATGTAATGAATTATCATGGGGGCCTAAAGAAAAGAATACAGCACTTAAAGGGCTTTTATATCTGACTATAGATTGTTCCATTATTTATTAGCAAGAGCCTGCATGCTCAAATACTATTGTTAGTTTAGTGCTGCTGACTGTAATCTGTACACAGCATCCTCAAGTCTTACCGGCCCTTTAAGATCCACACACACAGATATCAGCAGGATTTTCATTTTGACGACTGTCTTGACAGAAGAATCGTTATTTTTGCCTGAAAAGAGGACGTCCTCTACTTCCAACTGAATGTTCTCCATGTGTTTGTCGGGATGGAAGCTCCAGTGGCTCCCCCACTCTGACAGATCATGTGGACTGTAGAATGTGTGTGAATGAGCTACTATGCCTGTATAGAGCGCTGTCATTTTTTGATTTGCTACATTGTATGGCTTTTACTATTTCTGATGGAAGAAAACACATTAAAAAAAAAAGCAGTACAAATCAATATGTAGGCCTACACAGTGTTTGTTTGGTCACATTTCAATGGGAAATAAGAGGTATGTTTGCCACAGTGTTAACCCAGTGTTTGCTTTGTGTACCCTCATCTTTAGTTACTTCTTGTCTGTGTGTTTTGGGCGTTCGTAAAAACAACGAAAAGGCGTTAGAATGTGAAATGCAGACATTGATGAGCTAGCAGCAAGTACATTAGCTTATATGCTATGGCTATGGCTTCCCCCCCCATCTAATTCAGTAAATAATGGTTTAGTTCGTTGACACGCAAGTTTGTGCTTGTTGGAACAGTGACGACTAACCAAGAGCAACAGCCTGGTGGTTTTCATGTTTCTGTAGAGATTTCATTAAGTGTGTTTAACAAGGCAGCTAGCAGCTAGCTGACAATCAGAAGGCTATTAACCATCAACATGATCAAAATCTCAAACACCATCTCGTCTAGAATGGAGTAAGACCGTTGTGGGAATAATGATATTGTAAAAAAATACATATTTTATTAAACAAGTTAGTGAGGTTAACAGTAAGAGTGTTTAACACTTTCTGGCTTTAAATTAAAGGTATGGATTTTTGTTCCGGCATATAAAGTGTTCCTGATAAATATGATCAGTACTCCGTAATGGACACTTTTACTGAGCATATACTGTGTAAAATAGGAAGAAGAGTCTTAACCTTAAAATATTGAAACAATGTATTTTCTTTTCTTTTTTGCAGATTAAAAGCAACGTTATTGTCTGATGTATAGTTCAACTTCAACTGCCATATTACAACCCCTCCTACGAAGACCAAATTGTCCTCTCTATATTCTGCATTACATCAGTTTGCTGCGCTGCTCACAACAATGCCTGCAGGGCCGGATTTGGATGACTTAATTAAACTATACTTCAGACTTTCCCTAAGTAACAAAGAAATACTTGCTATTTTGGCACACACTAATCACATTGTAATTAGTGTCCGAACATTAAAGAGAATTTGTAAAAGACTTAACCTGTTCAGGAGGAAGAACCAGTCTGACTTGGAGGAAGTGCTAGCTTTTGTACAGCATGAGATCATGACCAATGGACAGATGCAGGGATACCGTTGGCTACATCTCAATCTGCAATTCAACAGGGCCTTGTTGTGTCACAATATAGCATAAGACGCATCATCAAACTGGTTGATCCACAAGGTGTGGAATTAAGACGAGCCCACCGCTTGAGAAGACGTCAGTACAGATGCAGAGGGCCAAATGCACTTTGGCACATGGATGGTTATGATAAGATAAAGCCCTATGGCATTGCCATCAACGGCTGTATAGATGGTTTTAGCCGCTATGTGTTATGGATGGAGGCCTATACCACAAACAGTGATCCTAAAGTAGTTGCAAGTTACTTTATCAAAACAGTTTTAGGTATACTGTAGGTGGATGTCCAGAGAGGATTTGTGCAGACAGGGGCACGGAAAATGTTTCTGTTGAAGAAATGCAGATGTTTTTGCGAAGGAACCACCCAGACAGTTTTGCTGGGGAGAGAAGTTTCCTTTATGGAAGAAGCAAACCAGCGCATTGAAGGATGGTGGGGTATACTCCGCAAACAGAGTGCGCAGTTCTGGATGAACCTGTTCCAAACTCTCCAGGAAGATGGCCACTTCACAGGAGACTTTTTGGACAAAAGTCTTATCCAATTCTGTTACCTTAATCTTGTTCAGGTAAAACTGTTTTTGAACTGTGTTGTCTACTCATGGCGGAAAACGGATGGGATGATCCGGCAGATCCATTTGCTGCAGCTGATCTATACATCCTGTTACGAGATGAAATACGACGACAAGTATTTGATTAAGGGTACATGTAGCGCACATGTCATTATTGTGACGACCCCTCCACACCATGTGGGGTGCCGTCTGGTTGTGTGTGTGTTTGTGTTTGCAGGTTCCTTTGCCTGACGAGCTGCACCTGTTTGACGAGCTACATGAGCCTTGATGAGCTACACCTGGCCGGAAGCCTTCAAGAAAGAGGGCTCAATGATTGCTAATTTTCACTCAGTTGCCAGATTATTTCATGTGCGCTCTAAAAACAGTAAGAGGCCAGTCATTAATATCGCCATGTAGTTTGCTGCAACTGAGACGCAGGGGCGGCGCCAGGGGGGAGCTAGGGGGTGCTGAAGCACCCCCCAGGATTGCCAAAGCACCCCCTAAGCACCCCCAAGAAATATGTGTTTTTCTTTTTTTTTCGAAAATTATTATTATTATTTTTATTAAATTAAATTAGAAATATTAATGATTACATCAATGCATATGTGAAACAAACACATTTTTGACCAAAAACATAAAGCCAACACAGGTGATATGATTAGGCCAATGGTCAGCACCCATTCGATTTTTGACCTACCCATAGGCTAAATTACTTTGTGACACTTGATTGACTTCCTGTTAGCTAGAGCGCCAAATGATTTGCTAACAGCAAAGTGAAAAATTGATCGTTTTTTAGTCCTTAAACGACCACGTGTGGACACTCAATCAAAACCAACTGAAAGCGAGAGGGATTCTGCACATAATAGGCCTCGTGAGTACAAGTAGCTTACTTCTGGGTCTCTGTGTTTCATTCAAGCCCTGCTCTGTGTGTGTGTGTGTGTGTGTGTGTGTGTGTGTGTGTGTGTGTGTGTGTGTGTGTGTGTGTGTGTGTGTGTGTGTGTGTGTGGTGTGTGTGTGTGTGTGTGTGTGTGTGTGTGTGTGTGTGTGTGTGTGTGTGTGTGTGTGTGTGTGTGTGTGTGTGTGTGTGTGTGTGTGTGTGTGTGTGTGTGTGTGTGTGTGTGTGTGTGTGTGTGTGTGGCACGAGCCATTTTGTGTGCGTGCGTGAGCGAGCGAGCTCGCCTCGCGCACCAGTGGGTATCTACCGGAGATCGTTGTGGTTAGCATCTGGTGCTAGCTAGCCAAGCTAATGGATATAAGGAGCTTTTTCAACAACAAGGTGGAGGGAGAACTCTCTCCTGTCAGACGGAGAGTCTCAGGTAACCTCAACTCAGGTGAAGTAAAGGACTCTCTCAGTGTTTAGATAGTTAACTTTAGTCTAGTTATCTCAGTGGGTCTCAAACGGTTTGTTTTAAAAGGGGAGTGATTTGTAAAATATCTATAAAGAAATAGAAAATCTGTTGACAGTTCTGTTTTGTATGGGTGTTGAGATGTATCCATAGATCTCTTAATGTTGCTCTCAAAGTGCACCAGATTGATGCTTTTAACTTAAATATGTAACAAAAAATCTTCCCGGGGGAGCTAGCCCCCGGACCCCCCTAGAGGAGGTGAGGACCCTCCTAGAGGAGGTGAGGTCCGCTCCCCACTTGTAAAAATAGCACTTTACCCCTGCCTATATGCCGTGAGCTGATTATCGAGCCTTCATTGTAACAGTCGCGGGTGCACTGTGTGTGCGCGTGGGGAGTGTTGCAGTAGAAAATTCAACTGTAGCGCTGGTGCATTAATGGGAAACCCTAAATGTGTGAGCACCCTCTATGAAACGTCAAGCTACCCCACAGCACCCCCTAGAGAAAATCTCTGGCGCCGCCACTGCTGAGACGGCCTTGCTTACACTGGGCAAACTTCCTCCTTTAAGAAAGGATAACAACGCCATTCACTAACAAACCTGCTAGTGCCATGTATTGGTGAATACAAATATCACTTTAGAATTACTTATTGATTGCCACACATGCATACAATAATGAACATGTTCATTTTTCAGCATAACTTCATCGTTTTTACTAAAAATGTTTAATGACATTCTTGCAAAAGTGTAAGCACAAATTGAATGATTTAACCATCATTCACACCTTTTTGCATAACACATTAATTAAATGGATCAGATTGTCTTTATGCAGTAACACATTTTATTTATTTATTTCAATTACTTATATTTCAAAATGTGGTTACATTTATGTATTCTCGGAACTCAATGAAACAATGTATCCGTAATAACTTGAGGTGAACCGACTTTGGGAGCTTGGTTGTGAGTTCATACTAATAGGAGCACATTTGATCCAATGCTGATACAATGAGTATGTCAGTGCAGTATTCATCAAATGTTCTCAGTATTGATATACATCAGTCTTTTAACTGTATTCACCATAACATTGCAACCTAGTTTTGGCCAAAAAAAACAGTTAACTTTAAGACAATAAAGGATACCATTTATAGACAATTAAATACAAATGTAATATGTAAAAAAGGCATCAAGAATTCAAAGCATAGATAAACAGAATTTTAAGTGTACTTAATTCATTAGCAATGATCTTATCATTGTTTTTAATAACTAATGATTACTTTTCTCACATTAGTGTCAAATATGAATTACTATAAGATATTTTAGAAAAGTCTTGAACAACTATTGCAAAGCTTATTTATTCAATCACTTTATATACCCATAAGAATATGGAACTTTATCAACATTCAATCAATGACCTGAATACAAATGTGGTGTAAGAAAATACATTTGAGTCACAATGTAACTTTAACTTACATTTCAATGTTAAAAGTAACATTTAACAAAACATGAGAATTCCGCACAAGGATGACCGGAAAATTACAGCCCTTTTACATTGCTTTTTTTTAAATTATTGGTTGATCCACAAGATGTGAAATATAGAAACGGAACAAATATCTGCCTGCACAATGCAGTATATATATATATATATATATATATACATACACACACACATATACTATATTGTTTTTTATAATATTTTAAACATGCTATACTACATGTTTATTTTCTGATACTTTCGACTAACTATACTCTAACTTTTTGTCACGGTGTGTGAAGCAGGTAGGACCCAAATGCAGATTAAAGTGCAAATTCCTTTATTTCAAGGCTAGGTGAACAACAAAGACAAAACAGAACACTCACCGACGAACTAGTCATGACAAAAGACGAACCGACAAAGACAGACCAGAACTTAAATACACACAAGACTAATCACACAAACAAGACACAGGTGAGGAGGGAGGAGACAACACAGGGGCCACAGGTGAACACATCA